CAAAGCGCTTGCCAAATGATGGGACCGATATAGTTAGCTTATTGCGGGTTGACTGAGCCGCCCCAACATTGTTACACAGCAGGACAATTATAATCACCACTTTAATTATCCTTGGTTATCATCAAGATCATCGATACTAATCAAGGTCAGCACTTCAGCGCCGGTGTCATGAGATTCTGCAAGGCAGCACTCTATGGTGCATTCAACGACAAAGTAAAACAAAACGGGGAATTTGGACAACCCGGACGACGCCACTTGTTATCGGAATGATATCTGTTAGGTCACCGTTGCTCTAAGCGCGGCCTGTAGTGTTCGAGTACTGGTACATAAAATGTTCACACATTTGATGAAAACAACCTTCCGTGCAAGCCTTTCAAACATGGTACATCGATTGTTACAGGAGGCCGTCCGTAGCAGCCTTCGAAGCCAGCTCTCTATCTGAAGCAGCCTGGTAAAGATTTGTCTTGTGCCGCCTGTAGCTGATTGACTAGCCAATGAGAGTAAGTCAATGGTATCGTTTTAACTTGAAGTAGACCAATAAGCATGACCTGTCTTGAAGCCCTCCAGTAAGCTCTCTACCTGCACAGCCAACAACGGGTTTTTGCGCATCCAGTAGTTGCTATTGTCAGGAACTTTTAATTAGGTCTTTTCTCTCATGAACTATTTATTTTGATCGCATATTTTGGCTGTACATTCTGTCTTTTGGATGCTCCATACAAGTTCCGTCAGAGATCCTTGTGTTCTGATTTGGGAAGTGGCTGTATCGTGATCGGGGTGGCTGCTTCGGTTATCCGTATTGTTATAATCGCAATAGACGCGATTCCGAAATTGACACTTTACTGCTCCACAAAACTTCTAGCCTAACCGAAGGAAAAAAGCAGAACGCCAATGACCTTGACAAAATAACGTATTAATCGTCATAAACATGCACTGTACAACTACTGCGGACCTTGACTATATTTATGGGTCTCTTACTGACCTTCGACTTCTAGTATTGGCAGGTCAGCTACCAAGGTTAGTGTCCCCCATAACTTTTGCCGAGGTGTCAGGTGGTTTTTAGTCGCGTGCAGAAACTAGAACATTCCATAAAGTTCGAAATCGATGCGATAATTGTTAATAATCGATTAATCGCTAATATATAGGATTTTCTATGCAATTCTTACTTTCTGTCGGACACCTCCTCTCCTAAGATATCTTCCGAGGTATAGGATGAAAGCTTAGGGTTCTTACCGTCTTCTGAACGGTATTCTCTGCTTGTCGGTCCATCTCCTTGGCAGAAGTGCCCGAGAACTGTGTTCTATATTCCTTGCTCGACTGTGTGCAGTCGTCCACTGCTTCCTTCGGCAAGTTGCAGCTTTCCACCAATAATTCGAACAGGAAGTCGGTAGATCTTGCTTGTTCTGGTTGGCACAATCTTGGCCGTAACTGGTTTGCGTGCCGTGCCCAGATCTGTGCGTCCGCAATCACATCACACATGACGTTCCCGCGTTTGCTGTTGACTGTCCATGGCGTCCGTTTCGCGCGGGCCTCCCGATACTCACGTACTAGCACTTTCTGTCTAAGTGTAAACGATCGCTTCTTTGCTCTATGCCGCCGGTTAAAATCCTCCTCCATTCTGCAGTTTCTTTCACCAACAGCAAATTCCGAGCGCGGTCGGATGGCGTCGAAAGGCATGCGGAGCTTCCGATTCACCATCGCCTATGCTGGAGAAACTCCGTCCGGCGCTTGTGGATTCGGTGTTGATCGGTAGAGGAAAAGGAACCGGTTAATCACCTCCTCTATACGTCTCTCCCCTTTTGATTTGTGGAGTGCTCGCTTGAACGTATCGATAAACCTTTCTGCCTGACCATTCGTTTGTAGGTAAAACGGCGGCGAGCGAATGTGCTGGACAGCGCATTGTTTGCAGAACTCCGTAAAAGTTGCCGAAATAAATGGCGTGCCATTGTCAGTTACAATTGTCTCAAGACAGCCGAATCTGCTGTAGGTGTGGCGCAGTTTTGATGCAGTGGCATTAGTGGTTGTGCTATCCATGAGAAATACTTCAGGCCACTTGCTGTATGAGTCGACTATAATGAAGAAGCTTCGGCCGTTGATCGGTCCTGCAGAGTCAGCATGGATGCAGCACCATGGCTTAGTAGCTTTTGGCCATGAATAGAGTTCTGATTTTTATGGCGCTTTCAAGATATTGGCGCACTTTTGGCAGCGTTTAGCTATTTCTTCTAGCTGTTTGTCTATGAACGGCCAGTATGCATAACTGCGGGCAAGCGCCTGCATCCGGTTGATCCCAGGATGCCCGGCGTGGAACTGCTGAATAACGCGCTCCTGAAGTGCCTTGGGGATGACCACTATTTCCGGAAATAGGATTCAGTCGTTCACAATGATATCATCCAGATATGCAGTGGCTCCAGAAACCCCGCTAGCATGGTATCCATCAACTACTGGAAAATGGCTGGCGCCGTTTTTACACCAAATGGCGGGCGGTTGTATTGGAATAGCACACGATGAGTGTTGATCGTCAACAACTCCATCGAGACTTCGTCAACATCCACTTGAAGGTAGGCGTCAGATAGATCAAACTTGGCAAAGTACTTACCACCATTCAGTTTTGCAAAGATATCTTCCGGTATCGGCAATAGGTACTGGTGGTCGTCCAGCTCGGCGTTAAGGCCAGGTGAGAAGTCAGCGCAAATGCGTACCTTGCCATTAGCCTTCTTCACTGCGACAATAGGTGCGGCCCATGATGAGTAGTGGACCGCTGTGATGACTCCGGCACGTTCCAGTCGATCGAATTCTTGGTCAACAGTTGACACAGCTGCATATGGTACCAGTCTTTTAGCCTTAAACACTGGTTTAGCACCTGGTCGCAAGCTCAGCATTGCCTTGAATTTCGTACAATGGCCCAAGCCATCCTGACAGATAAGTAAATTTTCCTTTCTGGGTATGTGTCATGTCTTCGATGGACTTGGTTGATGGGTCTGGACGTGCTCGAACTCGGTTGCAGATCTGATTCAAGGGAACATCGAGGAGTTTCAATTTTCAATCCAGTCCAGACCAAGTAGATTCAAATTCAGCCGGTCTGAAATATAGCGCGTTCCGACTTTTCCACCCCCTTGAAAGCAATCTTGCAAGTAAGTTCGCCCACTAAGTTTAACACACCGCCGGATGCATTATTGTGCAACTTTCTGAGACTCGACCATCTTCGGCCTCTTTATGTGATTCCATGTGTTCCTGGAAATAATCGTTGGGATGCCATTGACCAACGTCCTGATAAATCGTCGTCTAAGTTTACACTCACTTTGGAATGCAGCAACTATGGACAGGGACTCTGCACCATCCTTCCTAGAATTCCTCTTTCGATGAGAGTTCTTCACTTTCTTTGACCGGACCTGACTACAGAATTCCTCCTTATGCCCACGCTTATAGCGGCGAAATGCCATTCGCCGCGTGATCAACATGCTGTGGGCGGTTTGTTCGTAAACCTCTTGAAGAGTTTGCTTCGGTTGACAGTCCTGGTATTTTTCACGAAGGGCACGATATCTTAGGGTGCTGGACCATTCCGTTCAACCATGGCAGTGTCGTGTTTTAGAGTAAGCAGCCGTTTACATTCGCTTACGAGGGCCTTCAGTGTCAGATCAGGATCCTGATCCAGCTTAGCTAAAAGCCGCGTGCGGATCTCAGCCTCACTGGGGGATTGTAGAGCGCTGACCAAAATGAGACACTTTAACTGCTCGTCCGTTAAAGAGCGTAGTTTGAAACACTCACACTCACGGTTAATCATGTCCGCTAGCGCTCGAAAGTCGTCAGATTCTTGTTTGACAATTTTCAGACATTGATAGCGAATACTAAACAAGGATATTGACTCACCAAAAATTTCCTTCAGCTGTGACACTACTTCGTCAAACGTCAGATCCTTCGGCTGCTTGGGCAGACTGATCTATGAACCTTGAATGTTCACTTATTCCGAGCTTGCAAAGTAGCAATCGCACCTTCCAGGAGTCGTCCTAACGAATGAAGTCCCTTCGAAACTTGTCTTCCCAGCGCTTGAATTACGCTTGGAATGTGCATCCAGAATCCGCGTCACAATTGGATTCAGTGTTTGATTTCTTGAGAATATCAACAGAACTCGTCTGCATGTCCCGCGCCGCTGCTCCTGTTGTCTGCAAACTCAAGCATTTTGTCAGCTTTTCGATCATTTCTATTTTTGCCTCCATTTGTGAGTGCTGTTGGAAAAGCAGCTTTTGAAACTGTTTAGCAGAAAAATTCATCACATCTACTTTTCTCCGTCGTTATTTGTTATAATCTTCTCACTAGACGCGATTCCGGAATTGACACTTTACTGCTCCACAAAACTTCTAGCCCAACCGAAGAAAAAAAAAGCAGTACGCCAATGACCTTGACAAAATAACATTAATCACCATCAACAAACACTGTACAACTACCGCGGATCTTGACTGTTTTTACGGGTCGCTTACTGATCTTCGTCT